GAGGCTGAGGCAGGAGAATCCCTTGAATCCAGGAGGCAGAGGCTGCAGTGAGCCAAGATCAAGCCATTGCACTCTAGCTTGGGAAATAGGATCGAAACAACTCCATCTCAAAAAACAAAAAAGTGCCTGTATTCCTGATAAATGCTTATTATTATTATCTAGAAGAATGCCCATTCTACAAAGGCAGGAAGTTTTGTTTGTATTGCTCTTTGATGTAGTCTCAACAATTAGAACAATGTCTGCCACAGAAAAGTGCTCAACAAATATTTGTTAATTGTTGGTTAAAATGTTATTATTACTAAGACCTCTTGCAGCTCTTTTATGAAGTTATGAACCTGCACAAAAGGAACTTGCAAAATGCCTTAAGGAGAGGGATGTTCTTTGTGCTGATACTAGACACCCATGTCTTCTCAAAAGAGAACATTTACCCTCCATTTACCTAGATATTATTACTCTCAGAAACCAGTACACAAGAAATCTACAATGCTTAGCTCTTTCAGCCTTGTCTTCCTTACTAGACTATAACTTCTTGGAAGGCAGGGAATGTTTTTTCTTTCCTTTTTTTATTTTTGTAAATCCTCAAACTATTTAGTGTGTACTACTTACCTGGGTCCTCCATCAGACTTGCGAACTAGCACAATGCCTGGATATAGGTACCTAATAAGTTCCACTGAGATGGGGACTCAAGAGAGGAAGAAGATTTGGTCCAGAGTCCCCACTACCCACATGAGAAAACCCATTGAGGAAGAGGTATCAATTATGTTGGGAGCCATGCATCCCTTCCAAAATCATCCTTTGCCTCCACCTAAGCAACTTAATGAGGCCTTGAACTTTTCCTGAGTTGTTCTGGGAATAGACTTAAAAGAGGCAGCCTAGGAGAATAAGTATATTTTACTCATGTATATTATTTATATTAAAGCCTATTCAGGAAACTCTTTTTAGGGGACTTATGAGGTCCAGGTACCATGCTAGGTACTGGGAAAGATGCTGGGGAAGATGCAGAAATAAAACACATGAATGGTGCCAGTCCTCAGGGAGCAAATTATCCTATACGTTCTAGATCATAGAGACAAGCATGTGCACAATAGCTATAATAATAATAATAGTTTACATCATTAAGAACTAACTACATGTCAGCGGGCATGGCGGCTCACGCCTATAATTGCAGCACTTTGGGAGGCTGAGGTGGGCAGATCACAAGGGCAAGAGTTTGAGACCAGCCTGGCCAATATGGTGAAACCCCATCTCTACTAAAAATACAAAAATTAGCCAGGTATGATGGTGCGTGCCTGTAATCCCAACTAGTCAGGAGGCTGAAGCAGAAGAATCGCCTGGGAGACAGAGGTTGCAGTGAGCCAAGATCACGCCATTGCACTCCAGCCTGGGTAACAGAGCAAGACTTTGTCTCAAAAAAAAAAAAGAACTAACTACATGTCAGTCGCTGTTTCAAAAGCTTTACCTACATGAGCTAACTTCATTTTCACATATCTCTGAGAGCTCAGTATTCTCATTATCCCCATTGGAGAGAAGAAGAAACTGAGGCATATAGAGGTTAAGGAAGAGCTGTAAATAGTAAAGCTGATATTCATACATGGGTAATGTTACTCTAATACCTTGTACTCATAAAAAGTGGTAATAATTAAGAAAATAAGGCTGGAGCAGTAGCTCATGCCTGTAATCCCAGCACTTTGGGAGGCCAAGGTGGATGGATCACCTGAGACCAGGAGTTTGATACCAACCTGGCCAACATAGTGAAACCCCATCTCTACTAAATATACAAAAATTAGTTGGGGGCATGGTGGGCACTTGTAATCACAGCTAGTCAGGAGGCTGAGGCAGAATTGCTTCAACCCGGGAGGCAGAAGTTACAGTGAGCTGAGATCATGCCACTGCACTCCAACCTGGGCAGTAGAGTAAGACTCTGTCTCTAAAAATAATAATCATCATCATAATAAATAAATTAATTAAAAACATTGGTTTTTTTTACTCTGGTCTTCTTTGACTCAAAAAATATCTCTTCTTTCGTAATCTTTTACAGCCATATGAGGAAGTAGGTTTACCCATTTTTTCTGAAGAGGAGTTTGAGATACTGCACCACTCTCACAAAATCATATACTACTGGGAATGCCTCTCTTTCTCGCTCTTTGAGACAAGGCCTGGGTGAGTCTGTGACCCAGGCCAGAGTGCAATGGCACTATCTAATCATTGCAACCTCAGCCTCCTGGGCTTAAGCGATCCTCCCACCTCAGCCTCCCAAGTAGCTGGCATGTGACACCACATTCGGTTAATTTTGTATTTTTTGTAGAGGTGGGTTTCAATATGTTGCCCAGGCTGGCTCAAACTCCTGGCCTCAAGCGATCCTCCTACCTTGGCCTCCCAAAGTGCTGGGATTACAGGTGTGAGCCACTGCTTTAGCATTGGAAGATGCCATCTCTTTGACATTCAAAAAAACTCTTTAGGCACTGCGCGGTGACTTACAACCTACAATCCCCGCACTTTGAGAGGCTGAGGTGTCCAGATCACTTGAGATCGGGAGTTTAAGACCAGCCGAGCAAACATGATTTAACCCCATCTCTACTAAAAATACAAAAATTAGCCAGGCGTAGTAGCTCCACGGGGGCTGAGGCAGGAGAATTTCTTGAACCTGGGGGGCGGACGTTGCCGTGAGTGGTGATCACACCATTGCACTCTATCCAGCCTAGGCGACAGAGCAAGACACCGTCTCAAAAAAAAAAAAATCTGAAATGTGTATCATTGTTACCAGGGAGGGAAGCGGCATTGAGGAAAATCAGGTTTTCTGGGAAAGATTTGGAGATAGGAACTCAGGAAGGTATTCTCAAAACTGTGAGCTGGGAACCAAGACAGCATGACTCAATTCAGCACCGTGGACAGAGCTCCGGAATTCTCAGGACCCTGGACAGAGAAGCAGGCCGCACATTCCCGGGTAACCGAAATCACATCACCAGAGAACCCACCAAGCGAAGCCAGAGCGTTAAACTCCCATTTCCCTCCATTTTTTTCAACCAGACCTCAGCCACCTGCTCCTGAATCTTAGGAACAGAGGTACAGGGAGCGAATCTATTTTAAGGGCACTACTAACAGCGGGAGATAACGCCTTTGGCTGATGTACTAGGAGAACTCTTGAAAAATCTAAATTAGAGTCCTCAATTGGGAGTGGGACATTGCTAATAATATTTGTTAACGATATGTATTTTTAAGGCTGAGTAGCAAAGTTGTCCTTTTTATCCCCCGAAGTCCCACCTACCATTCCTTACGCTCAAGTTTTCGTTACTTGGAGAGCACACCGTAGGAGAGAAAGGGAAGTAATTTCTTGCAGTCTCTTGCTTTCCTCTTCATCTTCTCCCTCCCTACCCCCACTCATCCAGTCTCTCTGAAATACACATATGCCCACGCCCGCACGTGCACACACACACACACACACACACACACACACATAGCCACAGCGTGAGAAGCCTAAGAGGTCCTGGACACTCGGTGAGAAAAGACTGAATGCAGAGCAAGCGGATGCCCCCGAAAGCAGGCTCTGTCCCTTTAAATGGGTTGTAATGGTGGGGGAGGGGAACTGGCCGGAGCTGGCATTGTCCAGTTTGAACTGAGCACCGGAAGTGAAGGGGCAGGGCCGGGGCCGTGCACTGAGCCCCGGGCCATTGTCCATCTCCGACCAGGGCAGTAGCCACCCCCACTGACCAGCCCTCATTATTTCCTAGAAGGGGAGGCCACCTCTTTAAATGAGGAGATCCCCCCAGTCCAGTTCCTCCACCAACCCCACTATGGGGACGGGAGCGAATTTTAGGGTGGTGACTCTGAAACAAGGAGGGCCTGGGAATCTAAGAGTGTGAGGAGTACAGAGGAAGTACCTCTACCCACCTACCCACACCGTCCCTCTCCCAGCAGGGGATGGGGATGAGGTGGGGGTAGGATGAGAAGGCAGCTGGTGGAGACTCTTTGGGTTCCTCCTGCTCTCTAGGGAGCTTACTGGGGGCTAGCTTTAGACACACAGGTTTGGAGGGAGGAAATAAGGAATAATTCTTTATAAAGAATCAATTAAGAGCATTTTCTCTTTTCCAACTGGGGGAGGCCCAGAAAAACTCTGAGTCGGAAACTCCGGGAGGCAGACATTCAGATGTAGTAAGAGGCAGACAGACTTTGGGAGGCAGCGCCTTGGTCAGGACAGATCAGTCCTGTGAGTCCCTAGCTTCTCTCCTGCTCCCCCATCCCGGGCTTCCTAGTGTCCAGAACTCCAGGTCTATCTAAGCACACGGGGGTGGGGGGTGAGAGCGGGTCAGCGCCAAGCAGCAGGGTCAGCTCAGAGGCCTGAGGGGGAAGAGGGGGGAGGGGCGCTCAAGGGCTGGGGGAGGGGGAGGGCCCATCCATTTCTCCCTTGACAGGTGGTTTGTGTTTCTGATTGGCCAGCGCCGCCAAGCTCACACCTCCCTCCCCCAACTCTCTGGAATGTATAATTATCTGCGCGGGGGGTGGGGGTGGTGTGTGAGTGTGTGTGGGAGCAGTCACGTGGTTTTAAAACTACCCCCCCACCAGGTCCCCCACCTGTATTTGCTTTGGGGACCCCTATTGAGTCCTAAGTGCAGGATCCCAAATTCCGGGGTACTCAAGACTTCTAGGACAGACATCCCCATCTCCAGATGTGTGTGTGGGGAGGGGGTGTCAAACCTCAAGGTTCTGAGAAGGGACACCCCAGAGGTGTCAGAGACCCGAGCGGTGGGGGAGGGCCGGAGCTGGAGCTGGAGGGAAAGGGAGGGGAGAGGAGAGAGAGGGGAGGGGAGGGGGCTGCCCGCGGGGGGTTGGGTCATTGTCTTTTAGAATTTGGGAGCCTTTGAAAAGCCGTGGGCCCTCCCACCGCTATTGTGCGGGGGAAGATGTAGCAGCCTCTTCTCCGAACCACCCCTTTGCCTTCGGACTTCTCTGGGGCCAGCAGCCGCCCGACTAGGGGCCCGGGGCCACGGGCTCAGCCGACTACCATGGGCTCCGTGTCCAACCAACAGTTTGCAGGTTCGAGCTCGGGACTTAGCGGGGACACCTTAGGATCCAGGGGCGGCCAGGAGCCACGTAGAAGGGAGGTGGGAAAGTGACCCCTAGGCTGCTCAAAGGACCCCAAGACGGTGCGGCCTCCTGCTTCATGGGGCCATCTCTGGAGGAAGGAACCTTGGTGTCCCAGTGGCGTGCGCGCCAGACTACGTGGGTGGATGGAGAAGAGAGGCCTGTCCCGCCGTGAGTCGCCGGGAAACGCGTTATGGGAAGAGGAGCAAAACTTTGGGGCACCACTGTCCCGTTGTACGCTAGGGGAGCGCGGGAGGCGACCGGGACAGGTTTCTTCTCTTCCGTTGCTTGGTAGCTTCCCCCTCCTGGCTCTCCACTTATGGGGCTGGACACTCGGGTCTCCCTGCCCGGGGCCCGAGACGGCCCTCCGATTCCGTGCCCCTCTAGCTGAGTGCCGGGACCTCCCTATCTCCAGGTGGCTGCGCCAAGGCGGCAGAAGAGGCGCCGGAGGAGGCGCCGGAGGATGCGGCCCGGGCGGCGGACGAGCCTCAGCTGCTGCACGGTGCAGGCATCTGCAAGTGGTTCAACGTGCGCATGGGGTTCGGCTTCCTGTCCATGACCGCCCGCGCCGGGGTCGCGCTCGACCCCCCAGTGGACGTCTTTGTGCACCAGGTGAGACTGATTCCGGTAACTGCCCGGGGAAGGGCATCTAGGCGCTCATGTCCATGGGTGGGCGCCGGGTTTGCTGTTGTTTTGAGGGCCATCAAGAGCCCTCGTTGTGCGTCCCTGTCTTTGCCTGGGCACCCCAATTCTGAGTCCCTGTTAACTATCTCGGGGGAAGTAGTGGGAGGCAGCACCAATTATCAGCACCCCCGCCCCCTTCCGGGAACCCCTCCGGCTTACCACGTGTCTATTACCTCTTTCCCCTGGGAAGGGGCAGGGGGCAGGGAGGTGACCCCATGTGGCAGAAACTAAGGTTGTATTGTGCTTGCCGGTGGGGGGAGGGCGAGCAGGCCGACCAGAGAAGCACACGCCGGGCCTGAGCCTGGCGCCCAGCGCCTCCAACGTCTGAATGGAGCTCAGAGGGCGGGAGAGTGAGAGCAACTGGCTACTGGACCCAAGAAGGCGTAAAGCCGAGAAGTCCGCCTCGCCCCCTTTTCAATGCAGACCTCACCCGACTGGTCACTGAAAACTGGGTTTGGCAGATCCCTAAAGGATCCATTTGGGGGATTGAAAGCTCAGGACTGGGGTCTTGCTGTCCAGTTCCCATGAGGAAGGAAAACCCAAGGCCTTCCTTACGTTCCTGGGCCAGGCTGGGAGGGAAGTGGGTAGGTCGCAACCCCAAGTTCTCAGTTAAAGCAGGGCAGCGCGGTAGGGGGTGAAATTCAGTGTCGCAGGGCAGGGGGTGGAGGGAGGCTGGCCTCTGGACCTATTCTCCCCTTGGCATTTATGGCCCCAGACAGCCATTGATTGCTGTCTTAACATTCCTGGCCTCAAACAAGGAACCAGAGACTTCAGGTCTCCCTCCTCCCAGGCTTCCCCTTCCTGAATATCTTAGAGTCATTCCGGTGGTCCTAAGGCACCAGCTACCCATAAAGACCATGGGAAGGAAGTTGCTTGCTGCCTGTGGGCCTTCCATCTTTGGAGGTTTGGGGCTGGATCTGGAAAGAAGAAATTGCTAATCCCAGATCCTGTAGGTTGACACCCAGGCCGGGCAGGGAGGGGTTACTTCAGGGAGGTTGGCTTTAGGAGGTGTGGGGGAGGGGAAAGGAGGATGTGGGGATTAAGGGTTGGAGCCTAAGGGATGGCATTCTAGGGGGGAGGGGTGGGGAAGGGAGATGCTGGGTGGACTGGTTGGAGGCAGCAGCGAAGTCTTTGAGCGTAGCCTTGAGTGAGGAGCAAATAAGGGAGATGGAGGATGCAGGGAGATGGGGAGCCGCCACTTGCTCTTGGGGCCATGGGGTCAGTGGGCTACTCAAACATCTGCCAAGAGGACCTGCAGCAGGATACTTAGCTGCCTCCTTGCAGCACCCTGATCCCCCAACCCCCTATTAGACAGCAAGTTTCCCACTGGTGGCTTTTCTCCCTTCCTTGTCTCATTTACATATGTGAATGATAACCCACAGGAAGTAATTGTGGGAGAAAGAAGGGAATTGGCCTCTTTAGATCTATTAAATCACTTTATTACAGGAACCAGCTTTGAATGGCCCTCCTCAGCAGGGTAGCAAGCTTCCCCCACTCTCCCATTTATCTGATCACAAAGAGATTAAAATCTTTCCTGGTCTGGGGACTGGACAGCTCCCCCAACTTTGAGAGGCTGGAATAAAAGAGTCAGATCCGACGTTTTCTCGTCTCCCATCCAAAGCCTGCCCGATAGGGAGGGGCTGAGGGGAATGTATTCCCTCATCTTCTGGGGCTCCTTGGTGATATACATACCCCAAGGAAGGTCTTTTCTTTTTTCTTTTCTTTCTTTTTTTCTGAGCAAATGGGGACTTGGGCCTCAGCAGGCTTCACCTTAGGATCTAGAGCAATCGGGAAACTGTTGGGTGGCATAGAGCAGGCTTTGAGTCTACAATATGCTGGGTCAGATGTACTGACTGGCTTGGAAATACTCTGGATTTTAGGGTCTTGGAGCATCCGGGAACCCACAGTTGAGTATATTATCAAGAGAGAGCTGAGCTGGGAGAGAATGTAGAATTTGTAACCCCCAGCTCTTCCCATTCTACTCATAAAGCACGATGATGGGTGGAAATTCCCTGAGCCTTTACCTAGTAGCTCTGATAATGGTGGCATGCAGGGGAGGCTTAGTTCAATGGTCCTCCAACTCCACCTTAGAGGTAAGTTAGACTAGTGATTTTAGTCTTTGCACTTGAGAAATTAGAGATGACTCTCTGGAAATCTAAAGGTAAAGGAGTTTAGTATACACAGGATAAGTTGTTAACTGGGGGAGAAAAGTGTTCCCGAAGCAAAGAGTAAGAAATCTAACAAAACTTCCCATTCTTTGGCTACTGGGGTTGGGTGGGCTGGTGAGAAGGTAATTGTCCTAAGATAGTATCTACCAGAGGGAGGGGGTCAGGGAGCCCCTTTGCAAGTAAGGAGGAAGGGAGAAAGACAATTTAAAAACATTGCCTTTCCAAAGTTGGGATTATTAGAATCCCAACGCCCTGTTAACTAATGCTCTTATGCTCTCACCCAATTGGATATAATGCTGTAATATCCTCAAGTGTAGATGAGTGGGATTAAAAAGCCCACACCCTAGCCAAAAACAAAACAACAACAAAACATAAAGCAAAGAGATTTCTCTAACAACGCCTTTCCTTAGGTATACATCTTTAGATCTAGAAATCTGCCTGTCTCTAGAGTTAGTGAAACAGATAGCAAGCCTTTCAATTAGGATTTCTTGACCTCAGCACTACTGACATGTTTTGAGCAGGATAGTTTGCTCTGGGGAGTCTGCCCTGTGCATTATGGGATGTACAGCAGTATTCCTGGCCTCTATCCACTAGAGGCCAGTTGCATCTCAGTTGTGACAACCGAAAACATCTCCGTACATTGTCAAATGTCCCCCTGGGAGTTAAAATCTCATCTCTGCTTGAGAAGCACAGTAGTTATACAGGAGCTGGAGCAAGAAAGCTAAACTGTCAACTATTTTCCTGAGATTCATCAAGGATTCAAAAATCTTCATTTGGGGCCATTTCAAGAGTTAAAGGCTTAAGTCCTGTTTCCTGTGGCTCAATTTTCAAACTCTCCAGACCTGTAGAAATTTGGAAATAGGAAAAATTCCGTGCTTTCCCATTGCTCCCTAGGACCCAGATATGTCTAAATTGGCTTTCTAGCTAAAATGCTACATTAGAAGACTTGGAGTTAAAAGAAAAGCCCAAATTTGACCAAGGGACCAAGTTGGGTTAGGAGAAAACAATACCTAGACAAACTGCTGAAACTGCCCTGAAGCCACGTGGCCTGCTTTTTCTGAAAGCCATGAGTGAGGAGGTAGGAAGAGCAACCTTATTCAGGGTCTAGGTTAAGACGGCTGGGTTTGGCGGTGGGGGTTGCGGGGCCGGATGGCAGAATAGACAGGGATCTCCTCCTGATTTGTGACACTGCACCTCTGATTACTCAATGCATGTCTAGTTATTGATGTACTGTTCTTATACCCTTCTCTATGTAACCCATAAGCTCTTTGCAGAGAAGAACTTAGCTGCCTGGTTAATTTTCTAGTATGCACTTGGTGGGCTGAAGGAATGCATTAAAAAAGGAGCATCTTGAGGAACCTCGTGAATTAGAAGTACACTTAGCAGTCTGGGGGTCCATGTCAGCAGAGGTCTTTGTCCAGAGAAAAAAGCTATAGAGATGGAGCGGTGTTAACTGCAGCTGCTTGCTTCCTGGGCTGGCTAGAATATGGCCTGGACACAACATAGCACTATGAAAGTTTGTGGATTGAATGTCGGTAGATCACAACTCTGAGCTCAGAGAGGATCCTCTTGTTTTTGTTGATAGATTGGAAGCCACAGATTTAGTGGCCATCCCTGAGTTATTTCTGTCTTAATAGGAAAAGACCGCTTAAAAATAAACTGACTTGATTTTTCAGAAAGTTGGTAGAGAGGTAGGAAGGTTAATGAAGACATTGTGGAATCTTCTGGGATTCTCCTCTTTCCGAGACATGCTTCTAAATAATGTCTTAAGTAAAGGCCATGCTGCCATCCTGAACAAAGCTTCAAATATGGAAATTTTCTACCCCATGGTTGTTGACACTGCTGCTTGCCTTATACGTGCTTTTCACTGACATTCACCGAGGCCATTTAGTTTCTTGAACATTTCTAATCAAACAATCATACTCTACCTTAATTCTTGTTTTTTGGATTAACTACCCTAAGTAAAATTACTCCCCCGTCTTCCTGCAGGTATGAATAGCAACCACTGGCCATAAACACAGAGTCAGTCTGGGAGGTCAAAGGAGTTGGGGGAGAATACATAGTTGATACAGACTTATTTAACATGATCTCAGCGTGGAGTTATTTAATTTAGACATGAAACTAAAATCCAGGGTGAGTACTTGGTTTTTCTAAGCAGTAGAATATAAGAACTGAGTTTCTGGCCTAAAACTCTAGGAACCCTTCATTCTTATCCTTGTTTGAGCAGGTGGTTGGGTGGGGGCAGACTGGGACGAGGAGGACAAGATGACTGTCCTAAGGAGCTGTGGAGATAAATCTGCCTGAACACTTGCGTTCACAGCGCAGAACCAGGTAGCTACTCAATCCCTCCTGATCTAGGCTACGTCTGGCTTGCCTCTGGGCAGACAGGCTGAGCAGCGCCATCTGGTGGAGAACTCCACGCAAGTGCTAGAGGGCCTGGCTGTGGCTGAGCAGAGGAGATCAGAGGGATTGGCTGCCTGCAGCCTTCCGTTCTGGACACCCCTTTCACCACCCTCCTTGACACACACACCAACCAATCAATAACTGCTCTGGGAGAACCGGTTGGTTTCCTAACCCTTAGCAAATCTTACCTCCAGGAATAAAGTTAAGATAGAGCTGTGATACCACAGGACCGAGTCATTAAAATTACTTTCATCTGCTCCTTTTTAAAACGTGGCTACTAGAAAGTTTTCTTTCCTTTTTTGTTTTTCAGATGGAGTTTCACTCTTGCTGCCCAGGCTGGAGTGCAATGGTGCGATC